ATAAAAACTTACTCATAGTCAATATTTATATGAAGTCACTAAATAAATAATATGGTTTTACACATAATTTTTTAATATTTAACCATAATCTCTACTGCACTATCAACTATGAGCAAATACTCACCAACAAGGGTTGTGGTGGAGTGGTAAGTACTCGTTCATCCTTAACCAAGAGGTCTCGGGTTCGAGCCACCTTGGGTATGGAGTCGCCTTAGTTAGGAAGCGCTTTACCTCTTAATGTGAGATTTCTCGACGTGAATTTAAATTTAGTCGGGCTCTAATATGAGTATCGGACACCAAATAAAAAAAATAAAAATATGAGCAAATACTCATTTTGTTGGTGGAATGGCAGTGTCCAACTGTCCATAGAGAAGGTATAGAGTGAACTTTATTAGCACATTGTGGACATGCTGATTATCAGATTGAAATAGAACTGCAGTTAATTTAGCATATGGCTCTCGTGTCATTATAATAAAAATAACTTTTAGTGTCAATTATACATTAACATATACCTTGTTGGGATCGAAACAACATGATATTGGATGGAAGCTAATAAAGAAATTTTGAACGACGATAAATTATTATTTTTTTATAAAAATAATTCATAATATATTAAATTAATCTGATAATTGACGTACATATATATGACTGACATAATATTAAAATAAATAAAACTATTAATCAATTAACCTATACGTATGACTGGTCAGTTTGTCTTACTAAAGAAAAAAACATTTATCCCATCAGGTCTATACCCCACAAAATTTAAATGTTTTTTTTTTCTGGAATAATGGGATAAGTATATACGTACCGGAAATATGTGTTATCCAATTAATTAAAGATAGGAACACATAAACTCATCTTCATGTGCTCCTATCTTTAATTAAACCCAAGGACTATTGAAGTAATTGTGCCTCAAATTTGTTGAAAATGCTTATCTTGTTTTGTAGTTTGGTGGTTACTCTTTTTCTTAGATCTTTATGTGCTGGCTTGGGTATTTAATAAATAGAGTTACTCCGTACATGTTATTGACGGAAGGTGGTATGCCCATGCTGAGTCACAGGCAGCGCCGGGTTTCTCTGAATTTGAAAGTGATCACTTAGATATATATTTGAAATAAACTAAATTAGCATTGAACTATAAAACCCAATACAAAAGGGGGACGTGAAATACTCATGAGCTCATTAACATGTACACATGCAAATTACATGCATGAAGTTGTGAGGAATAAACAATTACTACTTATTTGATCGAACCCGTAAAAGCTAGAATAATTTGTATAATTGTGAGTATGAAGAGTACGATGGCTACAATGTTGAAGCCCTTGCCCAAGGCTTATTAAAATAATTATGCATCACATATGCCCTCATTCTGTTTCGTGTTTTTTCACAATGTTGAATTGCTTTTAAGCACTCTTCATTGTAATAGAAGGTGGAATAAACACCGATCTGATCCCATTTCCGATTCTGTTGAAGAGCTCTGCCACTTCCCTGTCCTCTTTCATCCAGTTCTTTATGATTCCTTTCGGGCAAAGCAAATTCACATCTTTGTCTGAGTCAATAAGATGCATATGGTACATAAAAATTACAAAATCACTGACATATTTAGATTGTACATCAGATGATTGTTGCTCATAAGCAATGAAATTTCGTAGGAAGGTTTCCGTATAATCAAACACTACAAAAGAAGGGATTGTCATCAATCCATTCTCGAACTTTATATCAAATAAATTTTTCATATTCCCAAAGAAGGGATTGTTATTTGCTGCATTACATTCTGTCTCTCTAAAGGATTCATGGATCATGTTTGGCAAGCTACCAAAGAAGGTAAACGAATAATTAGCCAGTATTACCAATGGAAATTCATCATCTTGCTTTGTCATGTCTTGAAGCATGTTGAGGACAAAGAAAGGAAGTTGGTTTTCTAGTAACATCAAGTCTCGGAATATTTGATGACACATGAAACCAGCAATATTGATAATTTCTCCTTCTCCTTTTGGATACATTTGACAATGCTCTCGAATAAACTCAACCACAAAACAACCATCAAGCAACAACATTTTGCAAAATTCATGACTATCATGCTTAATGCACTTTAAGCAATGCCAATACTAATACATGATTTGCTTATTTTACACTATTATTTATTATCCAATATAAAATTAAACAAATAAAAAAAATATAATTATAATTAACAAAAGAAATGTACATTTAAAATATACATTTTTGGAGGGTAAAAGACTTCACCTTTTCAATTATAGAGAAGAATAATTAGTTCTATAGAATAACATAAAAAGGACGAGAAGTTACACTATTTTTAGTGATATCATAAATTTTGAGTGAATAAAAGTTAGAAGCTTAACCCATTTGGCTAATTCATATTTTACCCATAATTTACCCATATATTACCCATATTTTTATGGGTTGAATATGAGAATTGTTGACACCTAATTTTGACCCTCCCAGATAATAATTAATTTCGAGCTTCTTAATTTTCAAATGTTTTAAAGTAATTAATTTTAGAAATTTCGAGAAAAAATAAAATATAATAGAATAATTTGCAAGTTGTTTCAAATAGTTTGTCACTTGTTATAATTTTTAAATAATAATATGTCTTTTATATAATTATGTATATAATTAGTGTATTTTATAAATATTGGAAAATCGTCTCAAAAAGATTTTGTTTAATTAGATATTTGGTTAGTTTGTTTAGTTATCTAATAGTTTACAATTTTGAGTTAAGTAGTTAGTTTATAATTAAGTTAATTATTATATAATTATGTGTCTAATTAGTATATTTTACGAATGTTCAAAAATTGTCTCGAAGGGATTTTAGCTTTATTTAAATATTTAGTTATTTAGTCGTGTATATTGTTAAAGTAATTAGTTTATAATTAAGTTAATTATTTTACTTCGTTAAGATTAAGAAGCTCGTTAATTAATTAATATTAATTCATTTAGATTCTAGCCGAATTAATCTCTAAAGCTATTCCCTAAATTTAATCTAACTCACCTCACCATAAACCCATTTAAGAACCATTTTGGGCCATTTTCTTAATACCAAAAATCAGCCCAATTCCCTTTATAATTCCCAGCCCAATTATTTTCTGCTAAAAAGAAACCCATTCCCAGCCCAAACCCAATTCCTCTAACAAGACCAACAATCCTATACTAAAAAAAAAAAAAAAAAAAAAACAGACGCAACAGCAACATTACAATACCAAAACAGTACATATCCCCTGTACAGCGTCTTCAGCTTCGACGTCCCTCTCCACTGTGCAATTTCAGCAGTCCGTTTCCAGCCATCAAGCACGCGTTTTCGTCCTTGCCAACGTGAGATCGCTCCACGTGGCATCTCAAGGACATTAGAGTCGATTTGAGGCGTCGATTCGGCCTTTCCTCTTCCGGAATGGGGAGAAATTTCAGAAAAAAAGTATGCCTCCCTAAATTGGTGAAAGGTTTTGAAGTTTTGGAGTTTTGAATTTCGAATTTGGTCCTTTGAATCCGTTATTTTTATCCCTTCCCCCCCATTTACGAAACCTACTCTTCCCTTCTATATATTTTGTTTTTATTCACTATGGAGAAGGGGGGCAGAGATTAGAGGAGTTAGGGAGAATTCGAGAAAAACACAAAAAAACTACTAGTTATAGATATTCACAGATAAATATTTGGGATAGGAAGCAGAGAGAGTGAGAGTTCAATCTGTGTTTGAGTCTTTGCATCATTTCTCTATTCACGTGGGTTTACCAGAGTCGTGTTTGAAGCCGTGGAAGCTCGCTGATCTCTTACTCGTCTTGTCCCCGTTCGCTGCCCAGAAAGAGGTAACGTCCTCCTTGGCTTTTGTTTGATTTCCAGTCCTTCCCTGTGTTTTGTTAATGACCTGCTCTTCGTTTTTGTGTGTATTCTGTTTATGCGTGAGTTTTATTTTAATCCCTATATGTTGAAATCTGGTCAAGGAGTATTACTCGTGAAAAATTCTTTTCTTTGTGGAGTTAGTTTAGCATTATTAAGGAGCACGTCTGCCTCTCTGCTGCCTCTTCCTAAATTGAGTTGGTGTGGAGCAATCCTTGTTTGTTAAGGAGTATTCACCGTCTTTGGTTGCTTTATATCGTTCACCGGGAAAGAAGATTTGTGGCAATTGTGGTGATGAGTTTTCTTTAATTAGTTTGATCTTCTTACATGTTGTGCTTGATGCCAATTTCATGTTTAGTTTGCCTGTTGGTGATGTTTCTTTAGAAGAGTTAATTCAGGTAAAAATGATATATCATGGTCTGAGTAGTTCTGGCCGACTACAGGTTAGAAAGCATCTATGTGTTTGAGTTATATTCATTTTGGAGGATTTTGTCCCTTGTTTTGGCTGTTAAACCTCTTCTTTAGTGCGGCGTTAATTATTAATAGATCTTATTTTATTTCCTACATTAGCCTTAAATAGTAGTTCGGTTCATTTCCTAGAACATGTGTCCTTCTTGAAAACGATTTCCCTTTGGCATGATATCCCAAGATATAGGCTCGATGTTCGCATGACTGTGCACATGCTGTTTCTATATTTTTATTCTTATTTTATTATTTTTATTTTTATTTTATTTTATTTTATTTTTTATCTTTTTTTATTGTTGTTCTTTTTGTTAACTTGAATGTGTGATAAAGATCAACCTTACTTTTTTTCTTATGTTTGTTGCCCATATGTATGTGTTGCTAGCTATTGTATGCACTCATTCGGCTTGAAATGATTAATATACTCTCTTAGTCACTCTTTTAAAGTTCGTTAGTTCTTAATGTGTCTCTATGTGACACACTTTAGTAGGATTGTATGTCGATTTATGCTCTCTTGAGCTCGTTCACTTTTTTTTAAAAAATAAATCGTTTTATTCTCTCTATTTTTATCTCAAGTTGGTTTATATATTAACTATTTTCCTTTGCTTCGTTTGCATGTGGAAACTCCTTCGAGTTCATGGTGGACTCTTTCTCCTCTCTTTTGCATTTGTAAATTGAGCCATAGGCTTAAGTCTTCCTCATCGAGTCAACCCCTCTTTCATTTGGATCATAGAGAAGCTGGCGAACAGGTCCTTGGAGGCGAAATACAGGTGGAATGTGGAAATATAAGTCCCCAAAGTCCAGAAAACGAGTTGTATACACTGGTGTACAGATATGGAATATCAAAAACTAAAAAATACGGGTTGCAGGGGTTGAAAAAGAGTGTATACATTTGGTAAATGGCCCGATATACACAAAAGGGAGCTGAAACACGTACCGTATACAGTCATATACGTTCGACGTATACACATATTTTAAGTGTGAAAGAGGGGCGAAAATGGGCCAAAGCCCAATCTTGCTTTGCCCAACTGGTCCAGCAGAGTTGGGGGAGGCCCAAATTCAATATTTTCCTTCCTTGCTTTTATTTACTTGATTATGGTACTTGGCTAACATTTTATCTTGATCTTGGTTTAAGTTAATTAAATTCCCAAAGATGGCCACTTCACTTTATTTTATATTAAAATAAAAATATTTATACTTAGCTTTATTTTATTTTTATTTTGTCAACACTTAAGTCACTCCCCTTTAGAATGATCCCCCTTAGTTTATTTTCCCTTAAAAAATAATTAATTAGAAAAATAATAGTAATAAATAAATAAGTTAAAATAAATGAGTCCTTTTACCTAGTTAAAATTTCAAAAAGTTAGTTTAAATAAATGAGTTCTTTTTTACTTGGTCAAAATCTCAATAAAATTAGTTAAAACAATATGAGTTCTTTTACTTAGTTAAAAGTTTAAAATTAGTCAAAATCATTTTTAGTCAAATCGCCGGTCAACCGCAAGTTAGCGGGCATTCCGAGGGCCTAACACCTTCTCGGAATGTACATTGAACTTCGAACCCTTTTTTTTTCAATTGATTTTATCTGTTTAAGTCTTTTGGAAAATCTTGTACTTTTTTCTTGATTTTTTACTAAAAATTAAGTGGCGACTCTAATCTTTTGGAAATTCGATTTCTCTTAAATCATAAGTTTAATCGGTTTTTCGAAAACTCAGTCATTTTCCTTTTAAATATATTTTTAAATAAAACAAGAATCAACCCATATTTTACCCATGTAAAAAATCACTCACCCAACCCATTAAAATATGGATGGATTGGGTGGGTTACCAAAATATGGGGTCATTTTGCCGGTACTATATATAGCGTTTTCAGAATGTCAATAGGATAAGTGCATTATTTTGAAAAAGGACGATCTATGATATATTTTCTTAAATTGGAGAGAAGAAACCATTTTGTGCATTTGATTTTCCTGTTTAAGAATTTGATCAAAGAATTGACAATATGCTCTGTTTCACTATACTTGCCTTTAGGGGTGGCATTTAGTATTCGATTTGGGATTTTCGAGGTAATTCGATAATTAGTAGATAAAAATAGATACCAACTATCAATTTTTTAAATTTTGGTTCGGTAATTGGTAATTAAACTTTGGTTTGGTATGGTATTCGAAAATACCGTATTGAAGTTATAGTCAATTGTATTACAAAGTTAATACTATTTATCCAATTATTTCTATTTTTTGTATGTGAAGGCACGATAGAATAGAAGATTAACAAGTAAGAAGACATTAAAAAAAGCACATTAATACAACTAACAAGTAAGAAGACATCAAGAAAATCAAATTACCTCCGCTCATCGTCCTTCTCTTCCAGGGTTTGAGTTCTGTGTTCTTATTCTCACTCAAGTGATTTAGGGAGGGAAGTTAACACTTCCGAAGAGGAAGAAAACGTGATGGAGTTTTTGTGACTACATAAATGTAACTTAACATATAATTATTATACAAATTTGATATGATTTGACTATTACTTCAAAATTCAAAGAACTGTGACTGAATTTCATGCCAAAACTGGATTGACTCTTACTCAAATTTTAGATTCAAACTCCCCTCGATATTCCTATTCTTTTGAGATATGACCCATCAAAAGCGATGTTCGTTTGTAGCAAATCAACTACAAACCCAAATAAACTTTTTTTTTTTTTGAGTTGAATCATGGGGGCTTTTATTAATTGGGAAAGATAAATACAAACTCATTTGGGTCAAACCCAATAAACTTGATATACACTGACTATTCAATCTCTATCAACTTAAAATCACTTGTAAATAGTCTTAACTTTTAGATATGAAATCTTCTCGATGTATCTAATCTTTTGATATATAATTCGCTCGAAACGATTTATGTTTGCAATATATCGAATTTTAAAGAAAAAAAGCAGAATTAAAAAGGAATTTTTTTTTAGTTAAATAAATCATCTCCAGAAGTTTGTAACAGATAAAAGGTCATTTTTGTTGTAAATAAGTTTGCCGAAAAGCTATAAGGCATAATTATCCCTTAATAAAACCCCAAGATTAATAGATACTTGAAATAAACTAATTAGCATTCAACAATAAAATTCAATACAAAGTAGAATTAATGAAAAACACATAATTAAGCTCATCAATACTACAATTTAGACAATTTAAACATATATAAAATGAGAGAGTATAAGCTTATCAACACTAGAGTTGAGACAATTACTTATTACCTTTAAAGGCACTTATGATAGCTAGAATAGTCTGTATAGCTGTGAGTAGGAGGAGTATGATGGCTGCCGCAGTTGACGCTCCTACCCAAGGACCACTACAATAATTGCGCATCAAATTTGCTATCAACCTGTTCGTTTTTTTTTTACAATGTTGAGATGCGCTTAAGCATTCTTCTTCATAATAAAAGGTGGAATACCTAGTGACCCCTTTTCCGATTTTGTTGAAGAAGCTAGACACGTCTTTGTCCTCTCCCATCCAGTGCTTTATGATTCCTTTTTGGCGAAGCAAATTCACATCTTTGTCTGAGTCGATAAGATAATCCATGAAAACTGCAAAATCACTGAAATATTTTGGTTGTACCTCACATGATTGCTGTTCATAAGCAATGAGATTTCGCAGGAAGGATTCTGTCTCTTCTATGACTTGAAAACAAGGGATTGTCATCAATCCATCCTTGAACTTTATATTAAACAAACTTGTCATATAACTATTATTTTTGACCTTTGCAAAACTAACTCCAGCTTCGGAAAGCTCCGTTGCATTTGGCATGACCGTATGACACGTTGTGTCATCCTTTGATGTTTTTGTGGGGTTCCCAAGGCATGGAAATTTGGATATTGCATTTGATGTTTTCCTGGGGTTTCCATGACATGAACATATGGGTACTACGAATGAGTTTTTCGTGGGGTTTCCATGACATGAAAGTATGTGTACTGCATGAAGTAAATGTTTGATATCTACTGCGTTATGTGCTACCTTTATTAAGGATTCACCAGTCACTTTGTCCAAGTCAACAAAAAAGGTAAACGAAAGCACCGCCTGTATTGCCAATGGTGATTCATCTTCTTGCTTTGTCATGTCATGAAGTTTGTTGAGGATGAAGAAAGGAAGTTGGTTTTCTAGTAACATCAAGTCTCGGACTATTTGATTACGTATGCAACCAATGTTACTTTTGATAATTTCCTCTTCTTCTTTTGGATATATTTCAGAACGCTCTCGAATAAACTCAACCACAAAACAACCATCAAGCAATAACATTTCGCAAAATTCATTACTATCATTATTGGGGTTGTCTATATCATCGTAACTCTTTAGTGCTTTCGCCTTCAGTTTTTGTAATTCACTGATGTAACTTTTCACGTCAAGCTCTTTTTTCCGTTCAAGAAACCGCTGTAAGTACAATAGTTTGTACTTTTCCATTGAACGAAGTTGAGGATTGTTCTTATGGTAAGGACCGATAGAGATCATCTTTGGTGCATAAGCTTCTGGATTGGATTCACGTAAACTCACATTTACTTTGAATATGGTATGGGATTTAATAGAAGAATTATTTAAATCCTCAAACATTTCATCAATTCTTCCCTTTATGATCTGTAACTGAAAAGAGTAGAAAATTTTCAAATGTTTATTAGAAGCACTATGCAATAAGCAAGCAATTATCTTGTTTAGGGAAAATGTGCAAATATACACCTCAATTTGCAATCTAGATTGGATGTATCTCTTGATAAAAAAAAAGTGGTGTATATATACTTTTGTTGTTTAACAAATGATGAATATTTATCCTTTTAGGTAATATGATAAATTAAAAAAACATCCATTTTTAAATTTTATAAATATCACATAGTTAAGAACTTACTCATCCATTTTTCTAATCCTTCCGGACCACACAAATTTAAAAATCCAAAAGGTGTAAACCATGGTTATAGTGAATGTGTTGGGATCCTGAAGTACATCTAAAATTACATGAAAGTAAATAGTTTTAAAAATTCTACAATCCCTTGAAATTCATACACGTGGCAAAAAGATTATATATTTAATTAAAATAAAATAAAAAACAAATTTATATTGTTGAGGGAGATACCTCATCTTCTTCAATTTGGAGAAGGAGTGGAGTTTGATTATCTATTGAGGTAATCTCAATAATGGAGTCTGCCATCCTTCTTTCTTCAACTCTGATTCCTACAAAAGGCACATTCTTTTTAATTTCAAGATACCATGTATATAATTATTATTAATCCAAAGCAATATATTTATCCCAAATACTCTTTAAGAAAATGTGTATTATATACACTAATATATTTCACATCCTTATAATTTTAATACTTTCTTAAAGTTATTTGAGAAACTAACAACACAAGTCATTTCTACAACGTGATTAGGGGTGTACATGGCCGGGTTGGTTTGGGTTTTTCAAATATCAAACCAAATCATTTGTGTCGGGTTTTTAAATTTATAAACCAAACCAAACCAATAAAACTCGGGTTTTTTCGGGTTTTTCGATTTTTCGGGTTGTTTCGGGTTTTTCCGGTAAAGTATTCATACAAACATATAATTTACTTGTACTTCAACTATTTCTTTAGTCCTACCAAAATACAACTATCTAAGATGTTTTTTTAAAATCTAACACAATATGATATGATTAATGACACTAAAATATCCAACAAAAATAATAGTAATGAAATCGCGTAAAACAAATATTGCAAATTAACAAGTCATAATGAAAATTATCATAATTTAAAAGTACTAAATCATGCTAAAATTAAGTTTAATAAGTATTAGTTACATGACTAAATATTAAAGAAAATTAAAATTAGATTATGTATTTTAATTGTCTAAACCAATGTAAAACTAAAGAACAAATATTCAATATTATTGTCATTCTTAGTGTTGAATTGATTTTCTTTTTGCATTAGTATTAATTTGATTATGATTTAAGCTTTATTATAATTACCAACATCTGTGGACTATAATCTTTATTGGCCCATTCATAATTCTAAGTTTCAAACTTGAAATAATATATTAAAAGATAAAAACTATGGAAAAGTATAAGAAATATTTAAAAATTATATCAAAGTAAATATTTTTATGTATAAAATAAAATTTTAAAATTATATATATAAATTTGGGTTGGTTTGGTCTCGGGTTGGCTTTTTTTAGTTAAAGCCAACCCAAATATAGTCGGGTTTTTTTTTTCTCAAAACCAAACCACTAGTCGGGTTTTTTTTTCGGGTTGACTCGGTTTACGATTTGGTCCGATTTTCGATTCGATTTTGTACACCCCTAAAGGTGATTATTGACTTATTGTGTAAAAATATTTAAAATTGTAGTGGTAGTACACCATTTCTAAAAGAACACACAAAATGAGTAACTACCAAAAGTTATAGTTAAGTGGTAATTACTCCTTCTTTGTTGACTAAAGGCGTCAAATTTAAGTCCTAAAAATAGGCTCGACCCCCTTTCGAAATAAGATTTTTTATAGCAAATTCAAATTAATTAAACCCTAAAATTCTAGATATTAAATTAAAAACTGACTGACAATAAAAAAAAATGATGACTAAGAATATTTTAAACAAAATATTTGTCCATTTGTGTCATGTCCTTCAACTTGAGGTATAAAAGAATATTATTAGTTGATATTGTTTAGCATAGAACGAGAAAATGCAAAAAAAATTACCTCTTTGATTTCGCTGTTTCTTCTTTTGTGTTTATTCAATTCTTGCTTCTCCTAGATTTTTCATTGCTATGAAGTATCTATTATATAGAGGGAAAAGAGAGAGAGAGAAAAAAAATATACATAATTAAAGATAGTATATGGTTAATATATGATTTAATATTTTTATTATTTCCAAATTTAGTATATAAAATACATTTTATATATAAATTTATTCAATTCAACACTTTATTTTGTGGCCTTTCAATACAAAAAAGATCTTGGCCGACAATAATTCTTTTTTGAAAAATCCGTTGACTCAAGTCAATGACTATATGTATTCCACGATATTTCACTTTTAAGTACGAAAAAAGAAAGTTAGGTGTAAAATTAATATTACGAAAGTAGGGTAGTTGAGCAGGTGCAATAATATCACAACAAAGTAAAAATATATTATTTAATTAAGCTTCAAGACTATTTTATTTCTAGGTCTCCTTCTGGGTAAATTAATTGTATATAGTCATTTTATCAAAATCAATGCACTACTTGCCGCAATGGCGGAGCCAGAAATTTCACGATGTCCAAGTACTAAAGTGAACCTACTCTTTTTAAAAAGTGAAAAAAAATGTAATTAGTGAGATTCAAACACACGATCACTTTAAGTTTGTGTGTCTTTACTCTTTCAAGATGTTTAAAACCACTAGGCTACATCATATTGTTGTGTCAAGGATATCCAAAATATGTTATTTACCCACTTTATTTATCATTTTACTTGTATATACGGTATAACTTTTCGACAAAAAGTGTCTAAAATATGTTATTTACCCACTTTATTTATCATCATGGCGCCATCTCCATACATTTTGTCTCACTAAAATAAATCACCATACATGATTTCTTGATCATCATTATTTATAGGCTAATTTAGAAATTAAGTATATGTCACCCAAGCACATTGATTGAATAACCCCTACGTCGATCATTATGATAGCTGTAGTCATTTAAAATTTATTAAATATAAATTTATTAATTGATTCAAATTCATGAAGATATTAGTCCAAATAAATATTATGAATTAATATAATTGAGTTAATTATTTAAATTTAATAAATATGTATTTAATTAAAGTTCGCTACATAAAGTATATATGTCATGTCACTTAAATCTGATTGTCCGAAGAGAGTATAGTGTTTTCCCAGAGTCTACAGCTCTATTAGGACAATAATTTTACAATCTCTTGAAATTCATGCACTAGCAAAATATAGGGTACAAAAAGAAATTATATATTTAATTGCCAAAAATAAGTAGGCTAATGAAATCAAAAACAAATTTATATAGTTGTGAGAAAGAGAGACCTTATCTTTATTAATTTGAGGAATAAGTGGAATTTGGTCATCTGTTGGGATTATCCCAGTGGAGTGTGTCATCTCTCTTTCTTCGATTACTTTCTTTTTTTTAGTCCATTTTAAGAAGAACGTTTCTTTTATTTTTTTGGTGATTATTTAGTTTTAATTTTTTACGTAATATGTTTATAATTAAAATATTAAAGAGCATTATGGTATATTTTACATATTTTTAGTTTAACATCATATAGGATTCAAAAGGCTCTTTACTTTCTTAATCTCTACATCAAGTCAAAATCAAATAAACACTTTGAAACATACACTACTAAAAAATAACTATTTTTCCATTGAAATTTTCTATTGAAAAACGTTCTCTGACTATTTTCACAAATATTTTAATTCAATAAATGAAAAAAAACAACTAATAATATTTTCACACATGTTAGTGTTTTAGTGAAAATTTATTTTTCCAGTGAGCCAGTTCGTTAAAAATTGAGTGGGAAAATCTTAATTTGATAGAGATGTTGTAGGACTCTCTGAATCATGTAAGTTGTTATAAACTAAAAAAAAACAGAAGGTGATTTAAATTTGAAACAACAGAAACAAAAACAATTGTGTTTTTTCATATTTTCATTCACTTTTCCCTTTACACTATAAAATATTATGTAAATCATGGCATTCAAATTGAGGTAAGAAAGAATAAAGAGTAATAGTTTATCATAGAACAGGAATATTTAGAAAAAGAAATACCTCTTTGCTTTGGCTGTTTCTTTTTTATCTATTTGTTTCTTTTTTTGGTTTGTTGTTTCTATAAGACAGGTCACCTGTAAATTTATAAGAGAAAATGTGATCAAATATTCATATATAATATAATGTAATATAATTTAGTGTGTGGTCTTGTTTTGGTCTTTCAACACACAAAATATTATTGGCCACTCATGGAAAGATAAGGAGAAGTCTGCTGACTCAACAAGTCAATTATTTTGATAGCAAATATATGTGCATATACTTATTTTTGTGTGGATATATTGCTAAAATTAAAGATCCTAGCTAATTATATTTTCTTATAATTTATCGTTAAATGGATTAACATGAAATTTTTGTTGTTTATCTATAAATTTTGCTTTTTGCTATTATTATTATTATTATTATAAAAGGGATATAATATATTCCGTTATTGAGATGTTGTATATGTTAATAGTTAATGCACTTAAGAGAACGTGAATATAATGTATTTCACTACTCCCTCTGTCCCATTTTCTGTGAGGTAGTTTGACTCAACACAGAGTTTAAAGAAGAAAGGAAGACTTTTAAAACATGTGGTCCAAAATGAATGATAGAAATTTGTGTAGTTGTAAATCATTTCATTAAGGGTAAAATAGATATTTTATAGTTAAATTGTTACTTAATATAGAAATGTGTCATTCTTTTTTGGACGGACTAAAAAGAAAAGTAAATCACATAAATTGAAACAGAGAAAATATTATTATTCTCAAATACATTTATTATACGCGCGAATACAATATATTCTACTATTATATGGAAAGTTTTCTCTTACTTTAATTTTACTCGAACTTATAAAAAGTAGTTTACATAAGATTCTTTATAACTTATGAGTGTGATATCATTTATTCATTCTATGCTAAGTGCTTTTCCAATGGCGAAATTGAATTGATCAATCTTTGAATTACAACAACAATAACATACTCAGTGTGATTCTATTTATAAGATTTGAGAAGACTGGGTGTACGCAGACCTTATCCTACTTTGTATGAGGTAGGGTGATTGTTTCCAATAAATATTACGATATATTTTCATAGATTAGAAAGAAGAAACCATTTTGTGTAGTTGATTTTCCTCTTTAAGAATCTGATCCAAGAGTTGACAATATGCCCTGTTTCACTATACTTGCCTTTAGGGGTGGGCATTCAATATTAGATTTGGAATTTTCGAATTTTGAATTTGATAATTCTGTAATTGATAGTTAAAAATAGATATCAAATATCAATTTTTTAAACATACGAAAATTAGCAACAAAGGTGTTGGAGGCAGAGGCAAATATAGCTGATATTCTACGGGGTAGACTAGAGTACTTAATAATTTTTTACAAGAAAAATAGATATATATGTAAAAATCACTAGAATTCTAAAGATAAGTTACCATGAGTAACTTTTTAGTTATAAAATGTGTTTCAGAGTAACGAATTATAAAACGTTATTGAAAGTAACATTTGATATTTGTTTATTTTGAATAAAATATAGCATAAAACATTACTGAAAAACACGTTTATTCTAATTTTGTAATACTTCAAAAAAAAAATTTAATTTGATGATTTGATTTAAATAATAACTTATTTTGATCAAAAATTCATTTTTTAAATCCAATTAATTACAAATTGATTTGAAAAGAAACGACAAGCAAAAAGGGAAATTAATTTTAATTTTCTGGTAGCTTTATGAAAAAGAACCATATATACATGTCTTGTCATAAACTGTAGAAAAAGAAACTAACATATATAAGTACATACATAAAATGGTGCATGTGTAAAACATTTAAAATAATAATTACCTTTTTTATTTGTCTATTTATAAATTGAAAATGGACTACTTGGAGTGTACTTGATTTTTCTTCTTAAATTCTTCTCTGCTCAACTTGAATAAAAAATTATACTATATGAGTATTATATACAGAGGCGTATTCAGGATTTCGGCTAGATGGGTGCACGATTACGAAGAAATGTATCTTAAATATAAATTTGATCATTTGACTTTTAGGCTCTAAATATGAACCATTAAATTTTAAAAACTATAGATTCAAAATATATAATACTATTAGTTTTAAATTTTAATATACACAATTGATTTAATTATATAAAAAATTTACAGTGCTTAATTTTTTAGGAATTTTCAATGTAAGACACTTGAAAATTTTGAAAGATTAAACTCAAAAAATACAAAAGAAAAATTAGTTGAAACGTCAAAAGTATCACCGATAACCACTTGGAGTGGTGTTACTCAAAAAGACAAGATATATAGATATAAGATTTAAATTTCTATCCTCAGTTAGAGAGGTGCACCTAATCATCATCGTATTATTATATGATACTTTGGACATGGGTTCACACATCTATATTTAAATATTTTTTAAAAAATATAATAAATGATCTAGAGAGGGAAGCATGAGTTCACGTGAACCCACGGCACCCCCTCTAGATACGCCTCTGATTATATATATATTTCCCTTCGTGTGATTGCAAGCCTACCTATATTGCTAACATCAAATAATGTACATTTTTGAGAAAAGTACCATGGAATAAATAAAGCTTCAGTATCATAGAATAAATGAATAATACATAAATCATAGAATAAATAAAGCTTCAGTATTATAGAATAAATGTATAATACATAAATATGTTTTTTAATTTAGACTTGATTAACATCTATGTCCTCTAACTTTGGGTGTGCACAAATAGACACTTAAACCTGTATAGAATTGAACAAACACAAGCGTAGATTCTCTATAGCATCCTATGCGTTTTATGCCATATAAAATGTGTGTGTCTATTGTCCACACATTGGGTTAGATGTCTATTGAGGCCCAAGTAAAAAGGCATATTTATATATATATATGCCTAGAATAAATAAAGCTTCAGTATCATAGAATAAATTGATTCTTTCTATCTTATCGCATAGGATAGGGCAAGAGTCATCCATTAATGACAACTTTAATTTGATGTTCCATATACAATGCTTTATCATCTGATAATAATAGAATTTATTCTTCTCTATGTACTTACAAGCAGCCCAAGATTTTTATATCTCCCAACAAATAATAACATGTTACATGAGGTCCCTTAAACCCTCTCTGTGGAGACCATTTTGCAAGTTTAAGTGCCTACTTATGCAAATTCAAAGTTGGAGGACATAATCCGTTGAAGCCAAGTTAATGGTCATGTTTATTAAATATAGATGTATGAAATAATGGAGGATTATTTGGGGATATGAGGTATGAATAGGAAATAAGGAAAATGTCATTTTTAAATAAAGCATGAAGTGTCATGTGATTTGCTTTGTTTGTTGACTTCGTCGGGGTTTTGTAATTTCATTCCCGCTATTACACAAATGTTATTCTGCCATTCTATCCTAGGAGGAAGTAACCTGAAACCATGGCACCAGTGAGGGGGTTATAATTTCTTAATTAAAGACACACAAACAACTTGTGGGCTCGGAATAATATTCTACTTCTTCTACAAACTTCTCTACATTCTTCTTTGTAATAGAAATCACTAGAGATATTGACCCCTTGCCCAGTTTTGTTAATGATGTTAACTACTTCAATTCATTGTCCTCTCCTAGTTGATTGCTTATGATTCCTTTTCCACGAAGCACATTATGTCATCATTTGACTCTTTTTTGGGATTCCTATGACATGAAAATATGTGTACTAGATGAAGCACATTATTACATTCTGTCTCTTTATAGGGTTCATGTACCTGCATGTTAGCAAAACGCATGAACAACTTATTCACCAATATTAGCAATGACGATTCATCAACTTGCTTTGTCATGTGATGAAGGTGGTCGAGGATAAAGAAAGGAAGTTGGTTATCTAGTAACATCAAATCTAGAAATATGTAGCTTGCACGATTAGGATTCATGATAATCCTATCTTCTCCTTCTGGACACAGTTTCCTACGTTCTCGAATAAATTCAACCACAAAACAACCATCAATCAACAACATTTGGCAAAATTCACTATTGTCTTGTATATCGTGATAACAATTTAGTGCTTTCTCCTTCAGTAACATCAATTCACTGATGCATTTATTTACATCAAGCCCCTCTCTTCGTTGAAGAAACCGTTTTAGGTATGACACTTTGTACTTTTCCATTGGATCAAGTTGAGGATTTTTCTTATGGTAAGAACCAATAGAGATCATCTTTGGTGTATAAGCATCTGAATTTAATTCATGTAACATCTTGTTTACTTTGAATATGGTACGCGATTCAATAGGTGAAATGCTTAAATTATTAAACATTTCATCAATCCTTTCTTCTATTCCCTCTATGTCGATTAAATGATGC